GAGCGGGGGGAGGCGCGGGGGGGAATGATACATGCTTTCACGTATGAGTCCCCAAAAGCCGCCAGTGACACCGTAAAAAGTCGCCAGATTTGTCGCTAGTCCCTTTTTTGAAAAATAGTCTCTGGAGGGGTCTGAAAATTCGCTGAGTTGGCAACACTGCACCTGCAGCGCTGGCTCGCTCTGCCGTATTTTTTCTTCTTCCCCCGCTTCAGTCAAGTGGATGTGATGACGGCGGCGGCGGATGACGCATTAATCGCGCGACACAACTAATCGATGATGAAATTCGTTGCCAACGCTTTTAAAAGTTGATTTTTATCGGTTTTATCGATTCGTTGTTGCAGCCCTAATTGACATTCCAACAATATCTGGTAAGGATGACTTCAGTATACAAAGCAACATAGAACTAATTTTGTTTAGGGGCTTGTTGTGAAGGCTGGATGTTTATTTAATAAAGGAGGAACAAGAATGAGAGAATGACATTTATAATATAAAGATTGTCATTAAGAGTTATTCATACCACACCCCGGCAAACCTAGAATTTTACTTAAATTATTTTATTTACTGTTACTTTTATTTACTACTACTTTACTTTTTATGTTCAAAACCTAATGTCTTATTATAGGGGCACTCAAGGAAAACCTGTTGTAACAACCTTAACGTATTGGCCTTGCTTTACCATGTTACTTTGTAAAATTTCATCTGTGAAAGACAATAAAATATAAAAAAGCTAGTAAAAACCTATCCCCCGTGTGCTGACATCAGAGGGAGAACCCTTTTGGAGCTAGCTTACATTTTATAACAGAGATGGATGCAAAAAATTATGATTGTTCCAAAACATCTAGTCAGGAATTGGTATGTGGTTAAACCATCAGGCAGTTCAAGCCCAGGTTAGGTTATTGATGCTGAGGAACACGGAAGCATCACACCTTCCAGGTCAGAACTATTCAGAGCAGACCACTAGCCTACAGAGTCAGACTCTGAGCCGGAGGGTGACTGCCTTTATGATCCCAGCAGCCCCATTAGAAAACACACAGCAATGATGACTGGCACGCCCCTGATACAGATAGTATAAAGCAGTTATTAATTTGTAAATATAATTCAGTATGTAATACTTTAAATGAACATGATTTTCAAAGAAATGCTGTTACAAGAAATTATCTACCATATATAGCAATTCCTTCAGTTTTTCAGTGCCAGGGTTGTCAGCTCTGCCTGTTTTCAGGCCAAAAATACTGTGAAACCCCACCACTTCAATAAAAAAAGCTTTCCAACAACAATCATTCTGTATTTGGCTCATACATCGGATCATTTTCTCTCTGTATCACTGTAGGATGGCTTTTGGTAGCAGCTCACTGTAGTGGTTCACTAAATAACCGAGAGACTCTTTCAATGAGAGGACAAAAAAAGGACTTCTTCAAATGCTCCAAGTACAGTAGAGATGCCATAGAGTCCTCCAACTTCCCCCGATCTCATCTGACCTGCTTCAACCACTTTGAAAGCAGCTCATGAACCTTGGGAAACCTAAAAAAAGCTAACACTATCCTTATGAGGCTTGGAAAAAAGTAAAAACAAACAAAAAACAACACTGTTCCAGCTCTTAGTTGTTATCCTGCATATGTGACTCAAATTTTCTCCCTCGGTCACTAAGTGGAGCCGGAGTTCTCTAAATGGTGGCCGTTTTTTGACAAAACCGTTTATCTTATGCAGGCGCCCTTGAAATTATTACATTGATCATTTGTATTAATGTTTTGGTCTACAAAAAAAAAAATTAGCAAACTTTAATATTGTATCAGCAACATTTTAAAGGTTTAGCCTAGGTTTTGCATTTTCGATGTCAATGCTGCAATGGAACAGTTTACAACTGCCTTTACTAACATCCTTACACATGCTATTACACATTGCTTTTAACAAAAGCATTACATTTTAAGGATTACTAAGAAAAATAATAAATGACACAAACTTTAAAGCTTTAGTTAAAATGAGAAAACCAAAGACAGCTTCACCAACCTCAACATCTGGAGCCTGCAGTTTGAACTTTCCAGTCCAAGACAAAGAAGATTTACTCCAGAATCCCCCAGCTTGTTGCAGCTCAGGTCAAGCTCAATCAGATGGGACGGGTTGCTTTTCAAAGCTGAGGCCACAACTTCACAGTGAGTCTCTGATAAGTCACATCTGACAAATCTGTAATTACAGGAAAATCAATGATCAACAGCTACTGGAATCAAAGCATGACTAAAGAATGGGCAGACTATCTTATCGATGATCACACCCCCTTGACTAGGATTAACATTGCACACTTTGTAAGTTGGCATGGGGTAAGTAGTATTTACAGCAAAATAGCATTATCATGATAAAAGATCTAGCTTGAAAAATTGTCCCAGAAGTTATTGCAATACAGGTCCAATTTGTTGGTTAGAGACCACTTTAGACTAAAATAATGATAATGGCATTATCACTATTTTTTGCAGTTTCTAGTTGTGGAAGGTTGAAATAGGACACTTAGAAGCCAGAAATCTGTTGTTTGATGACACTAGTGTCCTAATGGCAGTTGCGTTAAACAGTTGTCATTGCCCATGAAAAATAAAACTTCTGAAATAACTGCTGTCAAATATAGATTAAAGTTTAAGGCATTGACAATGGGTGGTCAGATTAGGGGGAAAAGATTGGTTTCAGTAATGGCCGATCACAGATCTTCCAAAATCAAGAAAAATTAAGGCAGATTGATTGGCCAGTGGATAAATCTGTGCACCCTGACATACTTATTTTATTTTCAATCACAGTTGATTTTCACTCACATTTGACTGTGATTGAGCTCGATTCACCTTTTCATTTGGGGAAACTCCAAGTCACAGTCTTCCCTGTTAACATTACCCAATTTGTTTAAAACCACCTTCCGACATCCGAAAATCCTTCAAAACTGGGCACCAACCCTTCTCACTTCAACAACTTCCATCCTATCTCTAATCTAGCATTCATCTCCAAAATCCTTGAAAAAACAGTTGCCTTCCAACTCCACTCTCAACTATCATGCAATGACCTGTATGAACAGTTCCAGTCCCGTTACTGCCCATGCATTAGCATTGAAACGGCACTTAACAAAATCACCAACATTGCCCTCATGACAGCTGATTCTAGAGTCCTCACCATCCTCAATCTTGACCTGACAGCAAGCTTCTTCCACTTGTATCACCCATATTTCATTAGATGGGTTTACATATTACCTCTCTAGCCACACTCGGTTCAACTCAAGTCCTTTAAATTCATCCTCTGCTCCATCACATCCAGGGTACCAAGTCCACCTTATCCAAAACATATAGCTTCTCTCTCACAACTGATAACTCCACGGTCTCACCTTGCCCATGCATCATCCTTGACAGGACACTATCCTTTCAATCCCACATCAATAACATTACCACGCCTGCCTACTTCCACCTACGAAGCCTAAACCATCTCCTCTCCTCCCCTCCTTTACCCCCACACTGCTGCCATCCTCGTCCACAGCCTTGTCACTTACTGTCTGGATTTATTGCAATTCTTTCTTCTTCTGTCTCGTTTACAATCCCTCTGCAAAATTCTCTTGCCAACATTAAAGTCTATCCACAAAATCATTGACCTTATTCCTGTTCCCTCTCCCTCCTGTTCCCTCAGATCCTCTTCTTCCATACACCTGTTTGTTCACTCTGCCCATCTCAATATCATAGGCAGAAGAGCATTCAGTATCTCTGCTTCACATCTCAGGAATTAATTACCATCCCAACTCAGAAACATCGACTCATACCCCCACGTCTGCTCACAACTCAAAAGACTGACAGACTGCCTTATCTATCTGAGTCCTAATGTTATTGCCATTGCCGTTGTCTAGTTTGATTTTTAATGTTGTCTTTTAATGCATTTGTGAATCTTTGTATGGTTTCCTCGAGTGTTGAGAATGGCACCTTCAAATAAAATTAATTATTTTTATTAATATTTTTTTCTTAAGTGAGGAGCATTAGAGAAGACATGGAGCTCACCCGTTTACCTGGTGGCTAAATAGAGTTCACCCTGAGAATAGAGAGCTAATAAATGTAAGCCTAGCTGCTGCTAGATGAAGCACAACCAGCTAGGATTGCTGCTACCATGTCGTGCCATCCAGGATTGATGGGAAAATTGTTTTGCTAGATCTAGCTTTGTGAAACAACATATATTCTGCCAAGAGAGTGGTTGCAGAGTACATGTGTTTGTAGAAAAGTTTCTCTTTAAACTGAGATTTATCTGAAAAAAGACATAATGCTTTTTTTCATCATGTGTTTTATTTTTTTTGGCATTTACTTCACTGCATCTCACCCTAAACTTAGTCATCTGGTATCTACCAAGGGGATGGCATTCAAAACTCTGTTTCTCAGCCTTTGAACCCAAGCCTAAAATCAAGTAAATGTTCTTTGTACTAGGCAGGAAACTAAAGGGACAGGGTCTTTTAGTCTGTGGCTCCTTAGTTCTGGAACAGTTTAGCACAAATTAGCTCTGCTTGCCTTTAAATAACTTTATACAAAGAAAACAAAAAATAGTTGTGACACCAAGCTTTTACATCCCAATTTTATGGTGCCTTTATATACTCTTATCATCCGTTTCGAAATAAATGTACTTTCTTTTAATATGCATCTTAATGTCAGTGTTTTGAATGCTAATTGGTATATGTGAAAGGTGCTTTATAAATTAACATTACGGTCCTACAGATTTTTTTTTTTGCTATGACAGGTTGCATGTAGTGATAAAGCAGGCCAGATGTGAACAATGGGCCTTAGCTTCATTTCTCATTTAAACAACAGCCTAAGAACATAACTATTAATTTTCCACTAACTAATTAATAGGCACCCACCGAGCCTTTCTGCAGTTCCTCACAGCTGGAGTCAGTCTCAGTCGTCCCTCATTTGATGCATTATATTTCTTCAGGTCCAACACATCCAGAACCTCCTCTGACATCTGTAGCATGTAGGCCAGAGCTGAGCACTGGATCTCTGATAGCTTCTTCTCTGTTTTCTTCTTTGACTTCAGAAACTTTTGAATTTCTTGATGGACTGAATGGTCATTAATCTCTGTCAGACAGTGAAATATGTTGATGCTTCTGTCAGGAGAAATTTGATTTGTGTTCATCTTCTTCAGGTTCTTGCTTACTTTCTGAAGAATGCCTGGATTGTACTTTCTCTGACCGAACAGGCCTCCTAAGAGTTTCTGGTTGGACTCCACAGTAAGTCCATGAAGGAACCGGACAAACAGGTCAAGGTGGCCATTTTGACTTTTGAGAGATTTTTCCATGATTCGATTGAGGATGCAATCTATAGGTTTTGATTTTCCTTCGCCAAGAAAGCTTTTGAGTACCTCAGAATTCCGCTTGCTGTAACAATAAACAGCAGCCAGAAACTCCTGGATGCTCAGATGAACAAAGCAGTAGACTGGATTCTGGAAGATCACGCTCTCTGTTTTGAAGATCTCTGTACAAATTCCTGAATTCACAGAGGCCTCTTTGACATCCAGACCACACTGCTCCAGGTCTTCTTGGTAGAACATGATGTTTCCTTTCTCCAGATGCTCAAATGCCAGCCTCCCTAGCTTCAGAAGAACTTCCCAGTCAGTTTTCGTCAGCTCTTGAGGACATGTCTTTTGTCCCCCTTGGTACTTGTTTTTCTTCCTCTTGGTCTGGACCAGCAGAAAGTGCGAGTACATGTCAGTCATGGTCTTGGGCAGCTCTCCTCTCTGCTCTGTGGTCAACAGGTTCTCCAGAACCGTAGCAGTGATCCAGCAGAACACTGGGATCCCACACATGATAAAGAGGCTCCTAGAGGTTTTGATGTGAGAGATAATCCTGCTGGCCTTCTCGTCTTCATCACTGAACCTCCTCCTGAAGTACTCCTCCTTCTGGGTGTCGGTGAAGCCACGTACTTCTGTTACCCTGGAAACACAGGAAGGAGAGATCCGATTGGCTGCCGCAGGTCGGGAAGTTATCCAGATGAGAGCCGAGGGAAGCAGGTCCCCCTTGATGAGGTTCATCAGCAGAACGTTGACTGATGACTTCTGTGTGACGTCAAAAACAAGAACACTGTTGTTGAAGTCCAGAGAAAGTCTGCTTTCATCCAGGCCGTCAAAGATGAAGAGAAGCTTCCAGACAGCCAGCTTCTCTGCTGGGAGCTTCTGGAGGGTTGGATGGAAAACATGGAGCAGCGTGAGAAGACTGTGCTGCTGGTCTCTGATCAGGTTCAGCTCCCTGAAGGAAAGCAGAACCACCAAACTAACATCTTGGTTCTCCAAACCCTCTGCCCAGTCCAGAGTGAACTTCTGCACTGAGAAGGTTTTTCCAACACCAGCAACACCGTTGGTCAGAACCACTCTGATGGCTCCACATTGGTGAGGTAAGGCTTTAAAGATGTCATGGCACCGGATTGGAGAATCATGGGGGTTCTTGATCTTTGAAGCTCTCTCCAGCTGCTTCACCTCATGTTGGGTATTAACCTCTTCACTCTGTCCCTCTGTGATGTAGAGATCAGTGTAGATCCTGTTTAGGTTGGTTCTACTTCCTGTTTCATCAAGTCCTTCAGCCACACGTTCACATCTCCTTCTCAGACTGATCTTATGTTCCTTTAGAACCTCTTGCAGGCTGTCTGACAAGAAAACAAAAAGAAAAGAGTCAAAGTCATTGTTTTAAGAACAACACAGATTAAACAAAATGTATAACTTTTCATCCAGGTGTCAGTGTTGGGCCATAAAACATTATTTTAATTTTAGAAATGGAGGAGCAATATTTATGCTGATATCTAACTTGGTCATTGAGTTTGGAGAATACAGTTAGCTCAAACAAATCTAACTGCTGCACAGCACACTCCCCAAAGACAGTGTCACAAGACACTCCTAGAGGCATGCAGTCCTACCCTCAATGGTGTTTGAGGACAGAAAACACCAAACTCAGAGGATTTCTTCCTCTATCTGGGCTGATCTGGGACTAGTTCATAACATAGAGATGCCAGCATGGAAAACCATGCAAAGGGCCACATGCCAAGTCAGGCCTAATGACTACTTAAAACTGACATGCTGCAAAACAGACTGCATCATTTTTCTCCAAGTTTTCAGACATTTTTGATGCTGACTGGAGGTGGGAGCCTTAAGAACAAGGAGCCCATTCCCTTGATGGGTGGCATAATGAACAAAAAACCCTAGATGTGTGTGCCCTGCTGCTATGCTGCTGAAAAAATTGATAGAACTCACAACTTCTACATGGAAGTAGGCAGAGGTTTGCAGATCTGGCAGAGTTAGGGACAGATTCTTAACTTAAATATGCCTTTTTGATTATTTTTGATCATTTCACGTGTCTCATGTCAAGTGAAGACAAAGCTAAAAAGATGGTACATCATGTTAAAGGGGAACACCGTTTTTTTTTTTAATTGGCCCCTTAATTGTACTTTATTACATCACGTTTTACTCAACCATATGAGTTTTGTGTCATATGGAGCGGTTCTGAAGATATTCCATTAGGTTATATGCAGGTAACGTCTTCCTATGGGCAAAATACTTGAAGCACAAACTAAACTGTTCATAATTCATTCTTTATGGTACGCCAGCATTCATAAGATGTAGGCGAATCACTGTCTCACAGATATCCGAGGTTATATTTTTTATATTTATATTTTTTAAAAACAAAGCTGAGTGTGAGTTATTATAATTACTATTTTTTAGCTCTACTATTAGGTTAGAATACATTTTCTATACCTGCTTGTCCTTGCAATTATTTTGAAGCAGTCGTTAAAATATGCAGGGACAGTTGTTTATGAGTATGTTTCCTAAAGGTCGCATACACTATGAATATATGCCTTTGAATGAAAAATTTAATTAAATTAAGGTTTTACCATAAAAGTGTACAAAAATTTAAAAGGAGGTAAAAAAAATTTCAAAACAAAGATTATTCAAGTTATTCGAAGATGAAGAATGAATAGAATTCAACTTTATAGTCATTAGACTGTCACAAGTACAAAGCACAATTTGAACTGCATTTAACCCACCCCCTTGGGGAGCAGTGGGCTGCCATTGTGGGGGGCCCGGGGAACAGTGTGGGGTTTAGGGTCTTGCTCAGAGACCCAGAGTGGCAGTCCATAGGAGTGGGGCTTGGGAGCCCACCAATTGGCTGGCCACTTAAACAAGAATGAGCTAGTAGATTGAGTAGCTCTCAAAATTGCCAAATCATTTTGGAAAAATATAAAAGTGCAAGATTAATGTAGCTTCTGACCAGACATAGGAAGGACGGTGAGTAGATGTGCTCAAACAGGCATTTAATTACTCAGAGGATCCTAGTTACAGCCGATATGACTTGTCTAAAACAACTGTGACAAACCTGTCCAGTAAGGTCACAGCATTTAAAAGAAAGCGTCAGACGAGGGCTGTGCAAGTGGATGGGGGAAGTGTTAAAATGCTCCTGAAACTAACCATTCAAACTATCAAAAAAAATATTTCCTCTCACCTCAGGAGCCTTTTTGAAAGTTTCAATAAGTATTCCCCAAATTATGAAAAGCCAAACAAGTACAACTTGGTAAGCCAGCATTTCACCACCTTTCTGTCATCAGCGCTGCAAGATGCCATGCTTGATCTCTCCTCTGATTACAGACCAGGCTTTTGGATAGCAATGCATCCAGTGGTACATTGTACAGCATTTACTAAAAAAGGACAAATTGTATGCCCTGTTTTTCCCTTGGAAACTTAGCTCAAATGTTCAAAATTTCACAAGCAGTAGATGCTGAAAGTTGGAAAAATTGAACTTTTGCTGCTCAACACGCCACATCAACCAATCAGAGAAGCGGAGCTGCGAGCTGGCAGGGATACAGACACAGCACATAGAGAGTGCTATGTGCTGTGCAGAGTGCTATGATCCCATTCTAGTGGCTACAGTTTGAGCCATGTACATGAACAACGCTAACATCTACTTCAAGCCGCCATGAACAGTAGGGGAATACTCCAAGAGGCAACCGGCCCTGAGGCAGCTGCTGCTGGGATTACCAGTGACAGTGCACACATCGTAATTTTGATGCCACCGAGCTGTGCAGAGAGAACAATGTGCATCGTTTAAACTTGCACATCCTCACTCAAAACTAGTCTGCGGCGTACTTAAATCTGACCACCTGCTCTTTCCTCCTTCTCTGTGCGCTCAGCTTCCTCTATGCTCGCTCTCTCAACTCCACAGGATTGACAAATGTAATTTTGTTTACAGTGGTCTTTGACACTTGTTCACTGGGCTCATCCGCCAATCTCTTTGATTTTGCTTGACTGGATCGGTGGAGTCACGTGAGTCTGCACACGCTGCTATGTCTTAAAAGGGAAGGAAATACACATCCCTAAAAAAAATTAAAGGAACACTTTGAAAACACATCAGCTCTCAATATGGCAAAAAGTCATGCTGTTTATTTATACCGATATGGACTGAGTGATGTGTTAGGAACAAAAGGATGCCACATAATTTGATGGAAATGAAAGTTATCAATCTACAGAGGGCTGAATTCAAAGACACCCCAAAAATTACAGCGAAAAAAGATACGGCAGGCTAGTCCATTTAGCTGAAATTTCATTGCAGCAACTCAAAATAGTAGTCAGTAATTTGTATGGCCCCGATGTGCGTGTATGCATGCCTGACACTGTCGGGGAATGCACCTAATGAGACGACAGATGGCGTCCTGGGCTATCTCCTCCCAGATCTGGACCAGGGCATCACTGAGCTCCTGGACAGTCTGAGGTGCAACCTGGCGAAGTCGGATGGATCGAAACATAATTTCCCAGAGGTGTTATATTGGATTTAGTTCAGGCGAGCGTGGGGGCCAATCAATGGTATCAATTCCTTCATCCTCCAGGAACTGCCTGCATACTCTCGCCACATGAGGCTGGGAATTGCCGTGCACAAGGAGGAACCAAAGACCCACTGCCCCAGCATAGGGTCTGACAAGGGGTGCAAGGATTTCATCCCGATACCTAATGGCAGTCAGGGTGCCGTTGTCTAGCCTGTATAGGTCTATGCATCCCTCCATGGATATGCCTCCCCAGACCATCACTGACCCACCACCAAACCGGTCAGGATTAACTATGTTGCAGGCAGCATAATGTTCTCCATGGATTCTCCAGACCCTTTCCGTCTGTCACATGTGCTCAGGGTAAACCTGCTCTCATATGTGAAAAGCACAGGGCTCCAGTGGTGGACTTGCCAATTCCGGTGTTCTGTGGCAAATACCAATCGATTTCCACTGTGTCGGGCAGTGAGCACAGGGCCCAATAGAGGACGCCCGGCCCTCAGGCCACCCTCGTGAAGTCTGTTTCTGATTGTTTTGTCAGAGACATTCACACCAGTGGCCTGCTGGAAGTCATTTTGTAGGGCTCTGGCAGTGCTTCTCCTGCTCCTTCTAGCGTAAAGGATCAGATACCGGTCCCGTTGATGGGTTGTAGACCTTCTATGGCGCTGTCCAGTTCTCCTGGAGTAACTGCCTGTCACCTGGAATCTCCTCCATGCTCAAGAGATTGTGCTGGGAGACAACTAACCTTCTGGCAATGGCACATATTGATGTGCCATCCTGGAGGAGTTGAACTGCCTGTGCAACATCTGTAGGGTCCAGGTAGCACCTCATTCTAACAGTAGTGACAGTATCCCTAGCCAATGCAAAACTGGTGAAAATGAGTCAAAAAAGATGAGGAGGGGAAAAATGTCAGTGGCCTCCACCTGTAAAACCATTCCTCTCGTTGTTGCCCCTCTAGTGCACCTGCTGTTAATTTCATTAAAAGCAACTGGAACTGATTAACAACCCCCTCTGCTACTTACCTCACCAAATCAATATCCCAGAAGTTTAATTATCGTGATGCTATACTCTGATTACGAAGTGTTCCTTTAATTTTTTTTAATAAGTGTATAAGCCACCCTCACGCACAGAAAAAATGGCAGGATTAGGTTTATTTATTTTAACAACATGGGAAAATTGTCTGTGGTTATTGTAGTGAATGATGGTAACAGTAAAAATCAGGTTTATTGCCCAGCCCTAATCTCATTTCTTCTTTATGAAATTTCTACCTGAAATTTCTACCTTTAGTCAAGCACACACAGTTCCCATGATCAGAACAAAAGATTGTAACAACTACAAAAAGTTAGCTGCATTCCAACGCAATAGGGTTAGGATCCCAGTCATCAAGGAGAGACTCAGATACATGCCACGAGGCCCAGGAGACCGCCCAAGACAAGTGGGACTACCTTGTACACAGCTCTCTCTGGATTTTTTTCCACACTTGGTGCTGGGATCCAATGGATCATCCTGGGCCGAGTAAGACTGGATGCACCCTGTGGAAAACAAGTGCCCGCATCTGTTAGGGACCGGATCCAGCAAGACATCCTGTTCCTCTTCACAGACACCCCTCTTCCTCCTTCTGTAAAGAAATGTAATCATAGCTTAAAAAGAATTTAACCAATCTGCTGATCTGATCAACATGATCAAATCAAATGTAGCATGTCTTCTTATTCACTTTAAAGGGCAATAATGAGAAACTAAAATCAGACAATGGATTACATATGCAATAAAGCAATTATAAAATAATTTTTAACTTGCAAAAGTTTGACATTTTAAACATTTGACATGTTTGAACATTTAAGAAGAGTAAGATACTATGGCTATTATAATTACCTAAAGTGCTAGAGTAAAAAAGTCAAGTAGGTTTGCTGCCACACAGAAGGGAAGAAAGAGTTGCAGCTACACCAAAGATCCATGCATCTGAGCAGAAACAATAACTGCAACCATCTATAACATAAAGAGTATTTCTGGATCAGTGTTTTTTTTTTTTTTTTTGCCTCCGTGTTATGGAACCCAAATTGAATTTAAAACTATATAATGGTTTTTCATCTATTTAGTACAGAATAGTGGGGGAAAGTTTCTCAATAAAGAGTGAAAGACCCTCCTATCCCCGGATACCTTCTCCAGTTACTCTGGGGAAAGCTAAAGCTGTTTCATGGCCCGTGAAGAGACCTGGTCCCTCCAGCTTGGGCTTCCTTCTGGTAAAACTTGCCTGGAGCACCTTCAAAGAGAGGAGTCCATGGGGCACCTTAACCGATTTCTCTGATTGATGGAGAAAAGTCTCCTGGATGGCAGTGCTCCTCACCCTATATTTAGGAGAGTACCTGTCACTCTGTGGAGGAAGCTCAGTTTAGCTGCTTTGTCCAGGATCTTGCTCTTTTAGGCATAATCCAGACTGTCAGTAAGGGCATGAATGTACTCAAACTGGTAAATCCTGAACTTTGCCTTTTTGGTTCATCAAAACTTAAGGCTGGCAGTGCAGAACTGACCCCTGCTCCCGTGGTACAGAGTTAAGATGTCCCATACCAATTGTCCCGAACTCTGTATTCCTAGAGTAACCCCTCTAGGGCAGCTGAGGTTCAACGATCAGCCAGAATCTCCTGTGAAAAACCCTGGCATTTGGCATCCTGGGGAGGCTGAGAAGTGTGCTTCCCCTCTAGTTGGAACAAGCTCTCAAGTCCCATTCTTATGAAGGGAACCACTATCCCAGTGTCCCAGTCGAAGGATACTACAACAGCCTGAAAGCATCCAAAGGCAAAGGCAGATCTCATCCACCCCTGAAGTGTTGCCACCATGAATGATTTTGACCAGCTTGGTGACTTCAGCCTTGGTGATTAGCAAGTCTGATTCCAGGCACCAAGTCTCTGCTTCCACAAGGTAGGGCATTACAGACAGGTTAAAGAAATATTTTAAGGCATTCTTCCAACATCTTATTGGAATCACCAGCACATCACTACCCCTGTAAACAGCATTGGCGAGGCACAGCTTCCCCATCTGTAGGTGCAGGACAATTACAATAATCACTGTGGGTCTGACCAATATTCTTTCTCAATTGCCTCATTGCACTCTTTGAAGGGCTGAGTTTCTGGCTCTGCTGCCACCGAGGTAGAATCATGATGTTAGTAAGGAAATAAATGAATACATTTAAATAAACAACAAATAAGTTCAGCAAAATCTTTAAATAAAACACTATGATCAGCAGAATAAAAAAAGAATAGATTTCTTACTTTGGGGGTGGGGATGCATGCTCATTACTAAAGTCTGGGGGAGCCTCTTTGGAGAAGTCACTCTCTATAGAACAACAGCTGGATCCTGCAGACTGGCTTTGGTTCTGGCCTCTGAAAATAAGTTTTATACAAGTTAAAATTTTTAAAGAAATTTAGTCAACAATTCAAATAGTAGTTTAAGATCAATTTTCTTATAGCACTGTAATGAATAAAACTATAAGTTATTTCCCATTTGAAATATCTATCTGACAAAATTGAAAGAGAGATTTCACCAAGATTTTTAAGTGGGTTCCACTCTTTTATATTTGTCTTCTTTATACATTTAATTTAATTGTAGCAGAATCAAAGTAATTTAGAGTAAAGTGGAGACATTGTTAGACTTTTTTTTTTCTTAAAGTTTCCCTCAGAGGGAAAGGATTTTTTTCCCAGACTGTGCATTTAAAGAGTTATTGCTTTGATCTGATCAAATATATAGATTTATCCTAATAATTATGTTTGCTTTATAATGAAAACAGAAATTCCTTGAAATATATAAAAGGTCAAAGAAGATATAGTATTTAGTGAGAGTCAAAACAAACAAAATCTTTGGATCTGGATAGAGTTGTAAAGCCAAGAAGCATGGAAATCACCATATTTAGTGGTTACAGAAATTCCCTAAGATCAGTTTATATTACATTCTCATAGGATAGCGTTTAAACTACTAAATTACCAGAAAAAAGAAAAATACATAGATGTATATGTACATTTATATGTGCTAAGGAATGGAGAGGAGAGTAAACAACGAAACCAAAGTTTGTAGTTTCACTAAAACATCTTTTTATACAATGTATCTATTCTGACATTGGTCTAGTTTATATACTCACGCCTAAATTTCTATTGAGTAGTTTAATTGCACAAACGCTGATTTAGTAAACATTGTATTTGAACACTTGGATCTATATAATTCTGGCATACGGTGCCACCCCTCTAAAAATACTTCTAGTTTACATTTTTCTAGAGCCACCACTAGTTGCAGATATCAGTAATTATTTTGTATTAATTTTATCTTAAAACTGCTTGGTTTATTTTTTTCATTTTTATTTATTTATTTTTTGGATAGACAGGACGGGGGGAGGGTGGTGGTGTCGGCTCCGTGCCCGGCTGGCTGGTGGGTCCTACTGCTGGTCCCGTGCCCCCGGGCTACGGTGGTGAAACTGGTGGGGCCCCCCTCTCTGGAGGGGCTCTCGGAGAACGGGGGTGCCTATTGGAGCCAGCGGGGGAGCTGGCTCCCTGGGAGTGCAGCAAGCACCCCAGTCCTTTGCTCCCCATCCCCGAAATTCTCCCTCTGCCTGCTCCATCACTCTGCCACACATGTAGGTTTTTGGGGAGGGGGTTGTTACTGGAGGGCCACACCTTCTGATGACATCCCCCACACCAATTTTATTTTGCATTTTAGACACTTCCATCTACATCATTTTCACAACACACATCTATGTAGGGCATTCTCGGGGGTAGGGGTCAGGGCCACCTGGGGGGGCTTATTTTATGGGCCTCACCACGGTCGGCCTCCTCCATCCCCTCTGGCATCTAGACATTGAGGGCTCAGGGTTGTCGAAGGGGGGGGTGTGCTGGCACCGTCTATCTCCTGGAGGGGGGGTGGACTGTGCCGGACACCCCCTCTTGGTACTCCCAGTTTTAATTACATCTGAGAGCAACACGCAACAACACCACATTTGAGCGGGCGCAGGGAGGATCGGGGTCTTCTCACACCCCTGTTCTCCGGCTGCCGCCCGGAGTCTGGGGCCTGGAGGAAGAGCGAGCCACCTGGTCCGTGGTTTTGGCTGGGGCTGGCTGCTGGGCCTAGGTGGCCTGCCCGTGGCGGGGCTTCGAGGGGCATGAAGTGCCTTGT